GCTTTTTCGATGATCCAGCAGATGTTGGTAATTTGATCTCTGGTTCCTCTGCCTTAAAAAGCAGTGAAGTTGTAAGTACCTTAAAATATTAATATCAGGAATGTAAGTGCTCTACCTTATGGAAATTTAGGAGAAAGATATTGCATATATTTTAAAGTTGCTGAAATAATATGTTCAATAAAATAATTATAGCCTTAGAATATCAGGATAGATAATTTGGAACTTTTTATGCTCTGAACCCAAAAGAAGTACTATATATTGATTTTATGAAACCTAAAGACTTTGGCTCTGATTTTATAAACTCTAAAGACTTCGGAATAAATTTAGACCAATTCCTTTATCGATGAATCTGAGGACCATGGCCATGGTCACCCACAGTTAGTGACAATGGTGAGACCTGAAGCTAGTACTCAGACTTGATCTCTTTAAACCTCAGGACTTCCTTTTCCTAATGGCAGCAGTGAAAACCTGCAGGAGGTCAATGGGTTGGCTTTTTCAAAGACACAAAGGGATCTGAGAAGCTGAGTATCTTGGCAGTCAGAAGGCCTTTACTGAGCACCTAAAAGACATTCTTTGTAGGGATACTAAACAAAAACAAAACAATCTGCCTTCATTAAATATGCAGAATACCAGAATATGTAGTCCTAACTGGGTCTGGATCTCAACTCTCCTCCCTACCTGTTCAGTAGTGTCTCGGTTTTCTGGGGCAGGATAATATCCACTTCTTTGTGTTATGAGAATGAAACTAATACCGATGTGGAGCAAACAGGAAGTACCTGCCACAGAGTAAATCTTGCTATTACTATTGATCATGGTTTTATGCACTCTGGTAGATATCAATAAGGCATTGCCGTAACTCTCTGGTTGGATACAGAATCAGACACACCAGAGAGAATGAATAAGCCTCACCATGGAGATCAAATGCCAAAAAGCAGGGTAATGAAGTAAAGGCAGCCTCCTTTTAAGAAAGTACCGGCTGTGAATTGCTCCTGTAGTGGGGAGGAAACAATTCACATGTCAAGTATGGTGTGAGCAAAGCAATGGGAGCAGGAATGAGCACGACATGATCAGGAGTTCTTGGAACTGCTCGGCTGAATCCGGAGGTTTTGCTATTGGGTGTTAAGAAATAATCGATTAAGCAGTAGGAGGTAGTGGAAGAGGTTGGAAAGTTGTCAGAAGCCTCGAGAATTCCTCTACGTGCCTGACAAGCTCTCTGGATTCAACTTTTTCTTTTAGGCTTGGAAGGCCCACAGGAAGTGCTCTTTAGAATAAATTGGGAGGTGGGGGTGGGAGAACTATGCAAAATACCTCGCATTTAGCACTAAATAAGTGCTAGTTCTTTTTTCCCCTCGGAGATTGAAAGGTTACTTGAATAAAGGGGAGGGGTTAAATTAACGTAGATGTTTAACTCCTGTACAGATAAACATTTTAATTTATCAATCTGAAACCTGCTGAAGCGTTTTCGTTTACAGCTTCCCTTACTCGTCCGCCTCCCGCCGGCCGCAGCAACCGACATGCAAAGCCCAGGGAAAAGGCGAGGGGTAAATGGTCTCTCTACGCATGCGTGAGACGCCTTCTCAACTCCCCCGCGGCGTCTTTTCTTGGAACAAAACTAGCGCTGAGCTCCGCAGTTTGCGTAGACTCGAATTTCCTATTGCTCTCACGGTCCGTGTGGACTCCTCGAGTGGGGCAGTTCCCCTACGCTAGTTGCGTTATTCGAAGTGAATGGCTGGGTGGTGCGTATACGCCCAGAGCGTAGCGCCCATAGGCGGACGGGGTGCGGCTGCGCAAGGACTTGAGTGGGCCGTGTACGCCGCTAGCGTAGCGTGGTGTCCGACGCGCGGGTCTCCGCGACGCAGTTGGCGCAGCCGGCTTTGGTGAATACACGATTTGGTGCAGCCGGGGTTTGGTACCGAGCGGAGAGGAGATGCACACGGCACTCGAGTGTGAGGTAACTATAAAACCCCGATTTGTTTACATTCCCTCCCCCAGAACCGGCCCCGTGCGCGGCGGAGACTGCGAGTCCCGGGACGGCGGGGGGGTAGAAAGAGAGACAGGGACCGGGGAGTCGGGGCTGAGTCCCTCGGGGATCGGGGCGCTGGGCTTCCCGCAGCTGCTGCAGTCGGCGGCGGCGGCGAGCCGGGCAGAGCGCGCGGTGGGCTGCGCGTGGGGCGCCGCCGCTCCTCGTGTGCGCTCGGGGCTGCTGCCGGGTTAGCGACCGGGCAGCCTCCGCCCCGCGTGCCGGACCCGCGCCCGAGTCAGCCTCCTGCCGAGGCTGGGGAGCCGTGCGGGGAGTGGGGGAGTCACCGCTGAGCAGGCGGCGGCGGTTGGGGGGCTGCGCGCGGACGGCTAGGGGCCGAGGGTGGCGTGGCCGGTGGAGGCTGGGATGCGTTGGCCCGAGGATGGGATGGTCCGCAGTCCGGTCTCGGAGAGACTGGGAGACAGGCGGCGGCGAACGCCCCCGGTTCTTCCTCTCGCGTGCTCCCCTCCTGTGTGTCCCGGGGATCCCCGGGATGGAGCCTGGGCGCCGCTGTTCCGGCCCGGCAGGCTAACGGACGGTGGCGCCTCTGCTCCTACCGCGGGAGGCCTCGTGGGGGCTTACTTTCTCCCCGACCAACTGAAAGCCGAGGCGGGGCGCGGGGGAGTTGATATTGAAGCCAGCTGGGGTCCCTGGAGCGGAGGGCTCGGGTGGGGCTGGGTCGGTGGGCGAGGCCGGGTGAGCCGGGAGGTGGCGCGGCTGCCCCGGCTTTGTTCGCGAACGCCCTTTGGGCGGAGAACCTTAGGGTGCCCTCCGGGCGGCACCACGCCGGGGAACCTTCGCAGCCCCTTCTCCGGGTCCAGGGGTCTGCTCAACTCCTTGCTTCTCCCTCGGGGTCCCCGAGTGCCCAGGCCTGGTGAGGGCGCAGGCGACATGTGGCTTCCTGTGGCTTCTCTAAAGAAGTGTTCACGTGGGAGGGAGCCTGTCCACATGGGCTGTCTTTATGAGCCGGGCACGAGGAAGAGAGGTCTCCGCAGGATCCGCTAGTTGTACTGAAATATAGTTACCAAAATTTTAAATATTAATGGTGAATTCATGCTTTAGTAAAGCATTAAATATCAAGAGTAATGGCAGGTAATAATGCCTAATTTCAAACTTGGGAGGACTGTAAATGTAGGTTTTAATTTGAATAATTTATATTAGTAGTGTCAGGTGCTGTATGTTAACTGATTTTTTTTTTTTTGCCTACATTTATAACTGAAGGGATAACTAAGGTTAATTTACGATATATCCTTCTTCTGTATCCAGATTCTCAAACCTGAATTCTATATACAGCTCTCTGGTTAATAACCCCTGTGTAATTTTTGCTACTTTAGAATAAGTGGTTAGTTATGAGATGACATCAGTGTATCACATGGTAACTTTTACCTGGGGCTTCCCAGGTAGCTCAGCGATAAAGAAATCTCCTGCCAGTGCAGGAGACATGGGTTTGACCCCTCGGTCAGGAAGATCCCCTGGAGAAGCAGATGGCAACCCACTCCAGTATTTTTGCCTGGGAAATCCCATGGACAGAGGAATCTGACAGGCTACAGTCCATAGGGTTGCAGAGAGTGGGACACAACTTATCCGTTAAACAACGGCCTTTACCTTTTTCTTCGTGTTAATTTGTATTCCACTAACAGCTTAAAACTCAACACACTTCCTCCACTTTTTTAGGCACTTGATTTGAAGCCATTTTTAGGAGGCCTCCAGTTTGGTATGCAGGTGCTTCTCTAAGTAGTGGTTGTTTTTTTTTTTTTTTTTAAACAGATCTATGAAGAACATAGGGCATAGGTGTTATAACAAGGGTAATTATACAACAACAGGAATGATTATTTACTTTCAATTAAAAGAATTATGTTGTTACCATTCTATTACCCCACTTCCTCAACCCTTGTTTTGGCCACTATTGGAGAGAATGTAGGGCTTGGAGTGAGACTTAAGGTTCAAAACTGATCCATTATTGACTAGTTTGGTTACCTTGATCTAGTTTCTTTATCTTAATCTTTTATCTGTGAACTTGGAAGTACCAGAAAAATCTATCTCATGGTTTACTGTGACCTTTAAATGGCATAATGAATCAAAGGGCTACAGATGATTCATTTTACCTTCTTTTCTACATTACCAACCTTCTAGTTCATTAGTGGTTGCAGGACTACTTTCTCTCTTGATTCCAGAATGAGGTTTAATGGTCTCTACCGGGCCACTGAAGAGGATACAGTTATTCTGTTATTCATATGTAATAATCCATAAAATTTCTTCTTATAGATGCATTTTCTAACTTATAATTACATACATACATCTTTTTTCTGCCAAACTAAATTCCTTGAGGGGCACATACTCCATAGCTTTTTGTCAAGTAATACTTGTGACACCTTATCCAGTGAATGTACAAAACTCTTTAATCAAAGTAAAAATGTTAATTAAGTGATACAAAATTTAAATTCAGTATTAACCAAAGGAAATACTTTGGATTTTTATATGTCAGCCCTTATCTGTGTAGTGGCTACCTCAAGAATGGAAATGTTTTTGTATGTATATATCAAAAGGACAATCACTAGTGTATTTTAAACTTATTCACAAATTGCAAAAGAATATACAGTAGGAAATGGGAAAGAGGTATAGGTAATCAGAACAGCTAGTCACTTTGCTTTATAACAGGTTTATTACCTATAAGGTCATCTTTCATTACAAGTAATTCTTATTAAAAATATACTGACTTTAGCCTTTAGAAGAGTTCTGGTTTGTCCCAACAGTTTGATGCTGCCCCCTAGTGTTTGATTGATTCCCCTTGGAGTTTTCATTCCCTTTATCTTTACCTTTCCCTAAAACAGAACATTTTAAGTTGCAATTAGATTCTTTAGTGCTACTTACATAGTTTACTTTGAGATTTCCTCCAGCTGGTTAATGTTGCTATGATTCCTTTTGAACTGTTAAAAAGATATTGCTTTTCACCCTAATTTTTCAAATAGAGGGTGAGTTTGGATGGAGGTTGAACAGTGTAAGTCCTTGTTTCTTGCAAATTATGTTGGAGACATTTTTCGGACAGAAAGAGAGCTGTATGTTAAATATGTATCTTTGAGATTAACTTTGTATATGAATAGTAGCAGTCTGGGTTTCTTCTGGTTTAACTTTGTCCCATGTGACTATTGCCTCCACTGTACTAAAAATGTTAAAATCACATAGCCTTTCTTTTTTTAGTTCAAGGTTTTTTTGAACTTTGACATTTATAGAATGAAATTTGAAAAATAGTCTCAAGGACCTTTAATAACCATAAGGTTTCATGTAGTCATTTATGTAAACTCTTATTAAAATGTCAAATTATACCAGTTATCAGTATTCCAAACTACTTTTTTCATTTTCATTTTCTTTAAGTTCTGTGAATAGAGCACACACACACAAAACAGGTTTTTCCAAAATAAGCAAAATATATAAGCAAATATTCTTGATAAATATTTACTATAATCAGAATATTCAAAATGTGTCAGATATGAGGCAATTTTTAATTGAAATTGTAAAGTTTAAATAACAATAGCATTATTGAAATTATTTTCAACTGTTTAAGAGACCATATTTAATATTCAGAACACAATAATTTATTGTCAGCACATCATAGAACATACAGTGTCAAACTCTAATAGATTTTTAGTATTAGATTTTTCATGTGAAAAGGTATTATTGAAAGGGGTGATGATTTCATATTTGTTCAGTTCACTTGCTCAGTTATGTCTGACTCTTTGCAACCCCATGGACTGCAGCATGCCAGGCTTCCCTGTCCATCATGAACTCTTGAAACTTGCTCCAACTCATGTCCATCAGTTGGTGATGCCATTCAACCATCTCATCCTCTTATGTCCCCTTCTCCTCCTGCCTTCAGTCTCCCAGCATCAGGATCTTTTCCAGTGAGTCAGTTCTTCACTTCAGGTGGCCAGAGTTAATTAGAGCTTTAGCATCAGTCCAGTGAATATTCAGGACTGATTTCCTTTAGGATGGACTAGTTTGGTCTGTTTGCAGTCCAAGGGACTCTGAAGAGTCTTCTCGAACACCACAGTTCAGAAGCATCAGTTTTTCTGTGTTCAGCTTTCCTTATGGTCCAACTCTCACATCCATATGTGACTACTGAAGTGATGGGACTGGATGCCATGATCTTAGTTTTTTGAACATTTCAGATTTGTAAGTATACGGATAAAACCTAAAATTCTTTTCAAGTACAGTTTCAATTATTTTCATTAAGAGTTAGTGGTATATGATTTTGTGATTTTATATTTATAGGCTTTCCTGGTGGCTCAGTGGTAAAGGAATCCGCCTGCCAATGCAGGAGTAGGGAGTTCAGTCTCAACCATCTCCATCTCTGGGTTGGGAAGATCTCCTGGAGAGGCAAATGGTAACCCACTCCAGTATTCTTGCCTGGGAAATCCCATGGACAGAGGAGCCTGACAGGCTACAGTCCATGGAGTCCCAGAGTCAGACATAACTTAGTGACTAAACAACAACTATTATGGTTTATATTTACTGTTTATACTATATATTTTACTGCCGAAAGAGAAGGCATCAGATAGTTGTTTTTGCATTAACATTTCGTGCAGCCATATTTACAATTACTTTGGGGGACCATCCTTCCCATTCATAGCAGTGGTTTTTGGGAATTAGAAACTGAATCAGAATGTCGGAGATACCTTTTATCTTTATAGATTATGTACTTTCATGGGACCCAGAAGCATTGTTATTAGAATTACTAACTACTATGAACTGCTGTATGAAAGTTATTTTTAATACTCTAGTGATTATCAAAGACTTTTCAGTCAGTGATCACTTTAGTTTTTAGATTTATTTTCATTCACATAGAGGAAAATTAAATTGCTTTCAGTTTTAGTAACAAGGTCACGAATACATATATCCCACTACTCTGTTACTTTAATGTTTGTAAAAAAAAA